ATTTCTAAATGGGTGATGGTTAATGTAACTATTTAATCTTCAGACATATGTTCAAGATCAATTGCAATCTGTGCTACAAATGAATGAATTAGATTAGTAAAGCACTCACTAAATTGTGGGCATGCAGACCATGGCAGGGTTACAGCGTGGCACAGCAAAATAATCCTGAAATCATCAGCCATAGAGAATTACCAGTGGTAATACCTCGGGGCCTTCTGCCATTACTGGTGAAAAGTGAAAAGGAGAAGAAAAACAAACAGTAGTTGAATGAAAAAATGTGTAGCAGAACCATATCCAGTAACAGGCTGCAACTGGTTGGGTGGGTGGACTATGTCTATTATTAGGAAAAAGCCTAACCTTTCTATAACAAAGCCTTCTAATTTTTAAATCCATTGCATTTATCTCCAAGAGTTTCTTTTTTTAAAATGTATTTAGTCTTTACTTGTCAATTGAACTTAATCATTTCTTGTCAATTACTAGCTATACCTTCCAATGGGAAAACTGCATGTTAGGGAAAACCCTGATGTAATGCAGGGGAAAGAAAAACAAAAAGAAAAAAAAAGAACATTGATACCATTTGCTAATTCTGGTTTTGCGGAGCCAAAAAATGGCTGACTTTGTTTACATGCTTTAATCAGGTCCCTTAAAATTAAATTACAAAAAGGACAGAGAGGATTCAACCCTCTGCAAGCAGCACTGCAAAGGAATGGCTCTAATTGTGAGTGCACTGCCTGCAGCAACAGATCTATTCACATAATGCAAAGTCACAGCAAACTGAGGAGGTGGGCGTTATTCCACCCAGCAGCAAATGAGATGCAGACTTGAGCTGCAAACCATAGGGGAGGGAAAGCTGCAGGGAGGTCTCATTACTGTATCTGGTGCAGCAGATTTAAAACATTCCTTTAGCTCAACTTCCTCGGAAGAAGAAATTATTTTGTTTTCATCTTCCATAAGAGCAAGATTGAATTTCATGGCACGGCCTCCTCCCATCAGTGCCTGTCACACAAGCATCTTCACCGTGCCATTTCCACCTCCCAAGTAAGGATAAAGGAACTGCATGAAAGCTTCTAAATAAATTACATTCCTTAACACAGATTTGTCCTTAGTGCTAGGACTTTGACACGGTCTGAAGCAGCTCCACAGTCTGACATTCTTACTTGCTATGTTAAATCTCAGGAGCTTGTTAGGTATTAGTCCAGGAATCTGTTAATTCTTTAGCTAGACTTTTTTTTTTGCCTTTGAAATAATCAGTCTGTCGTTAACAGAAATTGCATACAGAAGTGCAATTGCCCACATCTGAGAGATTTAAATGATTACATTGATTAAACCAAGGAAGAAATAGTCACAGTCATGTTGTGCGTGCTGCAGAGCGAGCACCACTTGTGTGCCTCGTGGTACGAGCTTTGTGCTTTCAGCTTCTATCTGTGTTCACCTGCTGGACCAGAACTGGGACCAAGGCTGATGAGGAACGGGCGGATGTCTGTGGGTAAGAGGCTGCTCAGTGCTGCACAAGGCACAAGCTCCCTCATGCTCAGCTGCCTGTAGTGTCCTTAGCCTGTGCACAGCTTTTCAACTGCTAAACTTATTAACCTCATTTCTTCATGTCTTTGCACGATGCAGTGGCACAGCATATGTAATAGCCCATCACCTGGAGCAGGAGTCGCAGTAAGTGCTAGAACTGAAACTAGTCTTTGGTCAAGGTCTTGAAAGGCTGTGTAAGAACTTGCTGGCTTTCTGACCTACACCAGCAAGCTGCTTCTGGCTCTTCAGGCACTTTATGAATCTACAGCATTTGAAAATCTCCACAGCTGCCACATCATAACTTATGGCTGACTTTCCTCGCCCCCCACGTCACTGTCTCATTCCATATTCCTCAGCCTTGGGGATCCCTCTGCTATGATCTGTTCCCCCAGTTCCCTTTGAAATCCCTTTGTTTCCCTCCTGCATATCGTCAGTCCCTTTTTTTTTTTTTTTCTGGTCCTTTGGCATGCTTTTTTACTTCTCTTTTAGTTTAGACAATGCCTGCAGATTCTGCTTCAGCACAGGGCAAGGGATAAAAAAGGGTGCGCTGAACTGAGGAGCAATAATTAGGGGACTGAGCAGTCTGAGCTATTTGACTTTCAGAAGCACCAGCCAGTTGTGAGGGCATGGGATCAAGAAACTCCATTTAAAATAGTTTTCCTTTTTCACTTTGCTTCACTCTCCAGTAATTAACGATGTATTTTCTACAAAAGCATGTGATTCAAAGATGATATCATCATTCAACTGTGATAGTTCATGTACAAAGAAATTACTATTCCTATCCAATTAGAGTGTCATAACTGCTTCTTGACCCCACTGCTAAAGAGTGATTTCAGCTAAGAATACATCAAATTCACTTTTGTTCTGAAGCAGCTTCCATTTACTCAGTTCTCCCTCATCTCTGGGCTACCAACCTTCACATGAGCATTTCTATAAAGTGACACAGAGCAGGAGAGAAACAGCAATTCTACACAAACTCCTCCTGTCATCTGTCAAGCAGAATAAAAGTGCCACGGACTACAAATCACTGGGGAGACCGAGCAGGGGATGATCAGACAAAAATCCTTACTCTTAGGTTAAAACATCAAACAACAGTGTGCCCAATAAGAAGCTCAACATTTCTTTGTGTATTATGTATGACAATAGTCTGTAGACATTCCATGGCTGGTTTTCACTGCTAACTTCTCCCCAGCTCATGCTAGTACCACAGTGATACCATTCAATGTTTTTGCTGCCTATTCTCTGGGACACTTCAGTTGTTGTTACCTCCTTCCTCCCTGTGCTACTGATTCCAGATGCATCTTATGATGCCTGAACAAATACACATTGTTGAGTTTTATTCTAGGTTCAGTTTGGCTTTATGCTGCAAAGAATCACTGTTCACTTCAGCAGGACACAGAATACACAAATGCTTCTCATTTTGCCCAATCACAGAATTGTAGGAGTTGGAAGGGACCTCTAGAGATCACTGAGTCCAAATCTCTGCTAAAGCAGTTCCCTGCAGCAGGCTGCAGAGGCAGGCACCCAGACAGGTCCTGAATATCTCCAGAGAAAGAGACTCCACAGCCTCTCTTGGCAGCCTGCTCCAACTGCTCTGTCACTCTGACAGTAAAGAAGTTTTTCACGTGAAAAAAAAAATTGCTTTGCATGCATATGGTACAGTGTTGTGCATACACGCAGTCTGTAACAACCATGCACTTCACCAGTTTCCACTCCAAGACACAGCTCGTGCACTTACTTATCTTTCATGAAAATATCATCTTTTATGAAAATAACCACTCTCAACCTATTGACAGGGAGTACCCCAGTCTCCAGGTAAGTCACTCCAACAATCCCCAGCGTTGCTTATTTCTGTTGCAAATTTGCCCAACTTCAGCTTATAGAGGTCAGAATGAATTATATCTTTGCCTCCCAACTTCAGCAGTCCGCATGAAAGCGCACCTTTTCGTATGCAGATACTTGCTCAAATCATAACACCATAGAAGGACTTCATGTTAGATAATCTCTGTATTGATCCTCTTGTGTCTCTGACTTGTGCAGTACTCACCTCACTGACCTTTAGGGATCTGGATATGCTGGATCACTGGGCAGAGGCAAACAGTATGAGCTTTAATAAGACCAAGTGCTGGGTCCTGTGCTTTGGCCACAACAATCCTGCGCAACACTACAAGCCTGGAGCAGAGCAGCTGGAAAGGAAAGAACCCTGGGGTGTATTAGTTGACAGCTGACTGAACATGAGGCAGCAGTGTGCCCAGGTGGCCAAGAAGGCCAATGTCATCCCAGTTTGTATCAAAAATATTGCAGTCATTAATTAATTAATTAATTAATTAAATGTGGAGCTTGGTGGCCCTGCCTGTGGCGGGGGGTTGGAGTTTCATGAACCTTGAGGTCTCTTCCAACCCGGGCCATTCTGTGATCCCGTGAATCAGCAGGAGCAGGTGATCATACCTCCTTACTGGGCACTGGTGAGGTGGCACCTGGAGGACTGTTCAGAAGATACTGAAGTCCTGGAGTGTGTTCAGAGAAGGACAACAAAGCTGGCGAGGGATCTGGAGCACAAGTCTTATGGGAATTGGCTGAGGGAGCTGGGATGGTTCAGTCTGGAGAGAAAGAGGCTCAGAGGCCTTAGCAGCAAGATCTCTAAAACTCCCTGAAAGGAGGTTGTGGTGAGGTGAGCGTCAGCATCTTCTCCCAGGTTAACAGTGAGGGAAGTGCTGGCCTTAAATTGCACCAGAGGAAGTTTAAGTTTCTGAGAAAAAAATTCTTCCTAATATCCAACCTGAACCTTCCTTGCTGCAATTTGAGGCCGTTCCCCCTTGTTCTATCGCTTTGTTGTCCTTCTCCAGATTTGCTCCAGGGCCTCAATGCCTTTCTTGTGAGGGGCCCAAAACTGAACACAGCACTTGAGGTGCAGCATCACCAGAGCTGAGGCCAGAGGGGCCATCACCTCCTGCTCCTGCTGGCCGCACTGTTACTGATGTAAGATTCCACTGGTGTCGTTGGCACACTGCTGGCTCACAGTCAGCACCCTCCTGAGCATCACCCCTGGATCCTCCTCCTCTGCACAGCTTCCAGACACTCTGCCCCAGGTCTGCAGAGCTGCCTGAGGTTGTTGTAGCCCAATTACAGGACCTGGCACTCAGTGCTGTTGAACAACACTCCACTGGCCTCAGCCCAGCGATCAGCCTGCCCAGGTCCTCCTATCCTCATAGGCATTGCCAACTTGGTGCTATCTGCAAAAGCTTCATTATGCAAAGAAAAACAAAAGTCGCAAATCACTTCAAGCAGCACCTAGTCGCGGTACCTACTGAAAATCCTGGTCCTTCCAATCAGCAAGGAGCTGCCAAGGTTTAGGAAAGGCAGCGCGCGAGCACCGGCCGAGCTCCGACCGCTCACAAAATGGCGCCCCCTGCGCGCTGCCCCACGCGGACCCGTCAGAGCGAGCCTCCCGCGCGCCCCGCCCAGCGGCCGCCCCGGCGCGGAGCGGCTCGGTGCTGCCTACAGCCTCGGCCGGGCCCGCGGCTCCTCCCCGGCGTTCGGGAAGATGGCCCCGCCCGGCCAGGTCGGTGCGGCGCGGCACAGCAGGGTAGAGGGAGTCGAGGGGAGCCGGCCCGATCGCCGGGGACGGTGGCGGGGCGCGGCGAGGGGTGGAGGGCCGCGGGGTCCGGCGATGCGGGGCGGGTGGCCGGGGAGCGGAGCTGAGGAGAGCGGCTCCGCGCCTTGCGGAGCGGGATGGGCGGCTGCTTGCCGCAGGTGTCGGGAGGTGGCGGCGGCGGGAGCGGCCGTGTCGGAACGCCCGGGCGGGTGCAGAGTGCTGCTGCCGCTGCCTCCGGGGCCACGCGGCTACGGGGTGGGTTTTCCTGTTCCCCGTGACGGTGCGTGCGAGCCGGCAGCGCTGCGCTGTTTCCTGAGGGCAGCGCTGGGCTCCGCGCCGGACTTGCGGTCCGAACGCCGCAGAGAGCCGGTGCCCTGGACGTGTCCGAGGTGGGACGGCTCCAACAACGGGCAGGGAACGAGGCGGCCTCGCAGGGCTCTGTCCGAGGTGTCGAGCGTTCCTTCGGACCCGTGTGGCTCTCTGGCTTGGGAGCGTCAGGAGCCATCTTAGCGTTGGGTGCTCGGACGCCGTGCAGCGCGCGGCGAGCGGTGCGAGAGCTGCTGCCGTCCCCGCAATCGGCACCGGCGTTTCCGCAGTGCTGCTCTCCCGTGGAACTGAGCGAACTTTCCGCACGGCATGTTTTTCGTTTGATAAATGAAAACGTCTGGGGGAATTTGTCAGTGTCAGCAGAGCTTTAATCGGGAACGTGAGTGGTTTGCTGCCGGTTTGCCGTGCTCCTTGAGCGCCGGCCCGCCGTGTTGCTGCGGAGCCGGGCTGCTGCTGCTTGCGGCCCGTGGTGCTGGGAGAGCTGCCGGGGCTCCTGAGGGCGGCAGCTGCGGCCACAAGCGTCTGGTTAATTTTACTTAGCTGCTTCTTGTAGTTTACGAAAGTGTGATGGCCAGAAGGAAATCAGCACCGAACTTTTCTCATGAGGACTGGGATGTCAACGTTCTGCGTTGTGACCAGAAGTGCTGCTTCTTGTGGCAGTCTGCTTCTGACCCACGTCCAGCAGTCAGCACGGCGCTCCTGGGTGCTCTTCAGTGATGCCGTTGCTGTTTTCCTAGGGACATCTTTCAGCTGTTGATAAGGATTTGAATAACCGTTGGAAAGCAGCAGTTTCACGTGTTTTTTGTCACGGTCAGAAAGGGACACGTGTGTCTTCTGTTACTTTGAAGGAGATACAGGTGTAGTGTATAGAGCTAGCGTAGACTTTCTGGAGCTGTCTTGACTTGTTTTTTTTTCCTAGTGAAATTGCTCTGGTTAATTTCTGTTGTACTTGAGATGGTTGTATTTGCACGATTCATGTTGTCTTGATTTCACTAAGTCAAGGAGAGCTGATGTATTTCCTCAGTATCACACTTGAGGGGTAACCCAGAGAACCTCTGGCAAGTTCCCTGACAGTTCCAAGTAGTCTGGCCATACCTCTACCTTCCCTGTCAGGAACATTATGGTAACATCTTCTTGAGGCCGGGTTGTTCATATGGAGCATTTCAAAGTGCTCATCAAAGTGCTCGTTTCAAAGTGATCATCCCTCTCAATTTCCAACAAACAACTTTTCATTGGAAATCATTCTTGTTCAAACTTGCTTTAAAAAAAAAATAAAAGAAAAATCATGGTCAGTTTCCCTCATTATCCTGTGGATGAAGTGTGATCCTTGGCAGTTTTAGCGTGTCAACAAGAAGTTAATTCATATCCTCAGCTTAGATTTCAGTGTAGCATTAACACACTAAAAGAGTACATCAAGGTGTATGTTTTTAAAATCCACTCTCATTTCTACTTGTATAAATTATTACTTAATGAGCTCATAAAAATAATTGACTATTTTAATACAAGTTTTATGCTGATGGTTAAGCTGATATCCCAGTTTTCTCTTGGATTTTCCCTGATCTTGTTGCTAAGGTATCTTTGTCCAGATCTGAAAATCACAGTTCAGATAACTGTGTAGGGTCTCTAACTTCTGCTTGTAATGATGTGATAATCATACATATCAAGTGCTGATGGGATTGCTCCATTTTGGACAGATGCATTGAATTTGTGCTTGAAAACTCTACTTACTGGATATCCTTATTGCCATACATTAGCCTTGTAAGGCATTTGGGTTTTTTGTGTGTACGTGTGTTGTATTTTATATTTTCCTTAATGTGAATGCTTGTATTTTACGAGTCTTAATTTTCTCTTTAATTGAAATGAATCATGAAATTTTAAATGAGGCGAATCTGGGATTATTACCTCCTCTTTATTTTTTGCCTGCTTTTCCCAAAATTCTGGGGAAAGAAAAGCAGACAAACAAGCAAAGGACATCTCTGTTGAATTCAGTCTGAGATGTATTTAGTCTGTTCATTCCAAATATGCTATTCCTTAAACTTTCTTCAAAGAATAAGTACAGGACTTTTATTTTTTTTTTAACTGAAAAGCAGGGACTCTTACAAAGTTGTTATTAAAATTCAGAAAAAGCTTGTCAAGACCAAGAACTAGGTGTCTAAAATAGCTCAAGTTAAACAAATGCTAGATTGTACTAAATCAGATCTTCAGGTACAAAATGTATTTTTGGAAGGACCAGAAAAAGGATTTGGTTTTAAATGAAACCGGTCAAATACTGCATTGCTCTGCGGAGAGGGACCTGGGTGTCCTGGTGGATGACAGGTCGGCCATGAGCCAGCAGTGTGCCCTTGTGGCCAAGAGGGCCAATGGCATCCTGGGGTGCATTAAAAAGAGCGTGGCCAGCAGGTCGAGGGAGGTGATCCTCCCCCTCTACTCCGCCCTGGTGAGGCCTCATCTGGAGCACTGCGTCCAGTTCTGGGCTCCCCAGTACAAAAAAGACAGGGATCTCTTGGAAAGAGTCCAGCGGAGGGCCACGAAGATGGTGAGGGGCCTGGAGCATCTCTCCTATGAGGAAAGGCTGAGTGAACTGGGTCTGTTCAGCCTTGAGAAGACTGAGAGGGGACCTGATCCAGGTCTATAAATATCTAAGGTGTGGGGGGCAGAATGGCGAGGCCGGACTGTTTTCAGTGGTGAGTGGAGACAGGACAAGGGGAAACGGCCGGAAACTGCAGCATAGGAAGTTCTGCACAAACATGCACAAGAACTTCTTTACAGTGAGGTGAGGAGCACTGAACAGGCTGCCCAGGGAGGTGGTGGAGTCTCCTTCTCTGGAGATGTTCAAGACCTGCCTGGATGCCGACCTGTGCGACCTGCTGTAGGGAACTGCTTTGGCAGGGGGGTTGGTCTCCATGATCTCTGCAGGTCCCTTCCAACCCCTACAATTCTGTGATTCATTAAGCTCATTGGTGTTCTTTTTTCCAGCTCTTTCTAGGCCATGCTCAAATAATGAAATATTTAACACCTACCTTCTAATAACAGGACCGGATCTTGATGAAAGTTCTGTAGGCTTTGGCGAGTGGATGGATACTCAGTGTTTTGGTTCCAAAGGTTCATTCTCCTGTGAGGCTGGCTCTAGTAGGTGTGAATTGGACACGGGACAGGGGGATGGTTTGTTTTTTTTTCCTTCTCTCTTTCACAAAGTGTTCTTTTCAGCTTCATTGTGGAGAGGAATTTTGGCTTTTCTGTTCCTGCTGTAGCTTCTGAGTTGCCCTATATTTTACTGATGTTTGCATCCACAGATGCAGACTATATATTTTTTTCCAGATGTAGTAATGTGATGAACAATTAAAACTTTTAAAATGAGATTTCTCAGAAGTCTTTGAAGCAGTTTAACTCAAACTGTTTACTATTCTTCATCTTTTCTTCTTTCTTTCTTTTTTGTTTGTTTAACTTAAGTGAAGAGTCAGAATAGCAGACAATTTGAACCTGACTTTGGTAGCACAGAAAATAAGATGCAGAAGCTTAATTTTCAGCATTCTTTTTGGTTTGTTGGCAAAGAAAGCCTCTTATCTTTTTGTAATTAAAACGTGGATCAACTAGAGAGCTTAGCAGAGATAACAGTTCAAATCTGTGATATGTATCTGGTTTTATAAACTTTCAGAGGAATCCTTTGTGGGTGAAAAGTCTCCATAGAGGTCTCAATTGCGTTCTTTTTCCTAACAGAATCTGGCAAAACTAGAGGTACTAAGTAGCCACCTGTATGATGGAACTGATCTGGCACAGCAAATGCAAGCTGAGAACGTGGTTTTGGAGCTTATTAATAGCCCAGATTGTCTTAGCTAGTGCCAGCTTTTGTTAGAACAAAGAACTGTAAGCATCCGAAAGATGTGTTATCCATAAATGTAGTTGTGCTGGTAGAAGTCATGTAGATTTGCCAGCCACAGGCCATTAACATCTAAGTACAATAATCATTGTGCTTTCCTTTTTTTTTTTTTTTTAATAGATATTCTGCTTTGTAAACTATTCTAGCAAATTCAGCTTTTGGAGGTAATCCCTGTAAGGCTGATGGATGATACATTGCATTGGAGATGACTTGGACAAAAGGGAAAAGCATCTAGCTTTCAGTTTCATTACTTCCTGAAGTTTGTAATTGAGATGCACATAATCTGTAGAGCCATGTATACCCAGTGTGGTGTAACCTGGTATACATAAACATTACCTGCTCTTATTCCCAGCTGTCAGCTACGATGAAGAAAAATTGTACTAAAAAAGTCTTTCAATTGTTCAGCTGTCAGCTTAGAGCACTCTTTTCTCATTACTCAGTTTCATTTTTGATGTTTACCTTCATGATTAGATCTGTGTGAAGCGATAGGAGGGTTGATTCTGATTTGATGGTTCAAGCTGAGTTCAGTACTGGTGTCTGTGTTTTCCAGGTATTTCAGAGACATCCTTTAAGACACTCTGAGTATTGGGATATAATACCATATAATTATTGGGTAACACCTTGGAAGAACCAACCAAACCATCATGCTTAACTAGTTTATTCAGCCATAATGTAATTGTTACTAAACCTGTTACATAAACAGAATTCAGAAAAGTATTTAAATATTTACATTTGTCAGCGGTGTGTTGTGCCTGATCCTTTAATTAAAGTTTAATTAATGTACAGTGTAAGTTGCTTCTGAGGAATCCAGTTTGGGTCAGTGGTTGAGCTCTAGAATGGTTATTTTACTGATGGCCTTGTGAGCTGGGGAGCCGAACAAGAGCAGCAAAGTTGTGCCTGACTATGGGAGCCCACAGTGCATTGCAGATGCTGTGCCTGGATCTGATTCCTTGTGCAACAAACTCAGCATGAAGTAGTGCTCCAGTACACCTTCTGGATCCCTGGTCTGGATGCTGGAGACCAACATAAGAGAAATTCTGTAGGCCCAACAGCTACACAGTTTATATGCAATCTTCACATTCCTAGTTCTCCTTTCCATCTGACATGTAATCAACTTTAGCAACATAAATAACTTAAGGCTAACAACTTCAGGTACTGAATTACATGTAGGTAAAAAAATTTCTTTTGTGGTTATGTTTGAAGTCAGACTGTGTTGCTGAAACAGACTCTGAATATATATATGTTTTTAAATTACGTAGCTTTACTCAATGGTTTGTAACACTTAGAATTTATGTTGAAGAAATCATAATTTCGTGGAATTGTCTGGTGCTCTTGAGCATCTGCTGCATCTGTAGCTTTGAGTCCTTTAATAAAGGATACTTCTTTTATGCTTTAGAAATTCTCAAATTCTAAAGGTGTTGTACTTCAAAAAAGACAAAGATATCTTTGATGCAGAGCTGAAATGGGGGTAATTGTCTCGTGGTTCTAAATCAAGTGATTTAAAAGTACACATTTCAAAACTAAAGAACTCCACTGAATAATAAAATTACTTTTGGATGCATGATTTTTGTCAAAAGGGATAAGATTTCTAGGATTCCACTTCTGATTCATTTCTTTAGAATGAAGCAAAGATAATACTAAGATAGATTTTCTTAAAAATTCTTGTTCCAGTTAAACCAAAAACTTGATAACCACTGAATATGACTTACTGACCCTGCCTTTAATTATCCTACTTTTAGATTGCATAGTTTGATATGTTTCTGTAGACATCCTACGCTTGAGTTCTGGCAGCAACTTGCCTGTCTAGGCTTGTAAGCAGGGCATCTCCATTACCTATTGAACAAAGGATTGACATCTGTAACTAATATTTGTGGTTAATGTTTACTTACATTAGTTTCATCTAAAACTTCTTGTTATCTCAGTAATATTCAGTGGGAAGTCTGTTTTTTCTTTTTCTCTAGGTCTCTGCATTTATTAAACTTGCCCATAAAGTGGTTGTTGTGGGAGTAAGAACCGAAAGGTCTTTGTGATTTCTTTAGTCATTTCTCTGCAAGTAGTTTACATATTTCTGAGTTTCTGAATTAAATTAGAATTAACTTTCAGGTTACTTCACTTTAATTTTTTTTTTTTTTTGAAGTTCATTTTTGAGGACATACTTTGTCTTTATCCCACAAGATAATGAAACAATTTAGTTCGTGTATGTAAAGGATCATAGAATCATCGAATGGCCTGGGTCGCAAAGGACCACAATGATCATCTACTGTCAACCCCCTATGTGCAGGGTCGCCAGCCACCAGAGCAGGCTGCCCAGAGCCACATCCAGCCTGGCCTTGAATGCCTCCAGGGATGGGATAAAACTTGCAGGTATTGTTAGCATACCCACAAGTCGCTTATGGGTGATGTTCTTTGTGATCAGCTCTTCCGACCCTTGCTGATGTTTGCAGAAGGCATGCCGGGGCAGGCAAACACTTGCAGCGTTAAGATCCTACAGTTTTCCTTGCTTTTAAGGATCTACTTTAAAGTCATTGCTGTATCCTGGAAAAGTGAGCAACTATGAGTGAAATGTTGAATACTGAAAGGCTTTGCATGAGAAGCACGTGGTGTTTGAGCAGATCTGCGCTGTTATATCGGTTCTGTAGGTAGCAGTGCTGTGAAATGCATGGTGGAGAAACCACTTCTAATACAGGTGTTCAGTGTTCTGTTAGATACCAATTCGCTTTCATCAACTTTAATTAATGTTTTAACATCTTTTGGAATGGATTAAACTTCTTGCTAGTTACAGGTGTCTGTCAATGAAAAGTGTGTGCGTTGGTCAAGGGAACGCTCTAGATTGAATTGGGGTCTCTTGTCTGAGAAAACTTTGATATACGTTGAGCTGGTTCTGAGAGCTGCTGTTTTATCCTGTAATATTCAGTGCCCCAAATATAAGACCATAATGAAAAATCAGTGTCGTTCCTGGCAGCATTCCTTGACTTTACGGACTGTTGTCATGTGTTGTGTGGGGATGGTGTATGTGATGTGCTTTGTGTTACTAGATGCTTACCTTACCTGTACTGAGTGCTTAAACATAACTTACTCACTGTATTAAACAGAAGACTGTAACTTTTAAAAAATCCCTCCTTAGGTTTACTGTTATTATTTTTTAAATGAAAGACTTACTGTTGATTTCAAAATCCTTTTTTTTACAGGAAGTTGCCTTCTGAACTATGTAACTTCTCAACCCAAACTGGCTCCTTTTGTCACACAAGCTCTTGTTCAAGCCATTGCTAAAGTTACCAAATTAGGAAGGTTTGACATACTGAAAGACCAGCTTGTCTTCAAGACATCATTGCTGATGTGGAAGGATTCTTGCAGGTAGGAAACAGTCATGCAATTACATGTTGAGGTGAGTTCATTTGAAGTGATTGTCGTGTCACTAAGTTGTTTTGAGTGGAAAAAATGTGAAGAGAACTGCTTAAAACAGAAGGTTGTCCTACGTTGAAGAAGGGAGCGGCTTTGATGCGTGTGGGGATGGCTTTGGTAAGTTACTGATGTCACACAACGTTCACAGTGCTGCCATGTTGTTATTTACTGACTGACTGATTTCCAAAGCACTTTTCCACGGTGTGATTAACATGAGCCCCTGTTACTGATCTGTTCTTTTTAATGTTGTCATCCCTTTTGAAAACTGTGGTGGAGATACATTTCTGGTGTGGTGTTAGCTCCACTTACCTGATTAGGAAGTACTGCTGCTCTGCTGTGTGAAGAGTAGGCCTGTCAGATGTGTCAGGCTTTAACCTCAGCTGTGCTGAACTGTTCAGTTCTAGAACCAGTTCAAATGTAATTGCTTTCACGGACCACTGGTCAAAATGATACATTTTTAACTACTTTTTGGAGTGTTTACTGTTACTGTTTTTTACTGGATTTCTGTATGAGCAGTGAGACTTTGCCTGCACTTCAGTAGTTTTTAGCAGAAATCACTAGGTACCTCGATAGCTTGGTAAAGATACAATGGCAGAGTGCAAATCTGCAAGACACATTGTTACATGGAAGATTGGTAATCAGTTCAGATTTTTTTGTAGCTGTTACTTTGCCTATTTTAGTCTAGTGTTTAAGGTATTGTGAAAGTTATACATTTCAGAAAGTAAAGTGGGGAATCTGGGGAGGAAAGGTAACTACGCTTCCCTTTAAAACAATTGAATGAGGCAGTAATGGTTTTGTTTTGCATTTCCTTCCATGCTATTTCCTCTTCTCCCACTGTGCTGGTAGAGAAGTAAACTGTTTATAAAAAAGAATAAATATATATATATATAAAGATATATATACTGTGTGTGTGTATACATATATATACAGTATTTGAAAATTTGAGAGAATTTCTTACAAAGTCAGGGTGCACTTTGCACTGTTCACTAAGCAAATTTACACGTCAAATTTAGAGCAAGTCCTGTCAGACACAGCAGTAGGTAAAGATATGGGATATACAGCATCTTCTGGGATAGAAGTTCAGAGGCAGCAATTGCATGTCATGGCTTATTAACCAGTCTGATTTTATATATATAATGGATATGAAAATATCCTTCATGAGCTTTTGGGGGAATAACAGATCTGTGTTAAAAGTTATTTCTGATCAGTGTTTCTGAATATCTGTGTAGGTATTAAACCTAATACTTGTGAGAAGTAGGTATCAGAGAAGTTGGAGATGATGAGATGTTTGGAGATCTACTTCTAAAGTGATCTGTTACGTACATTTGTGTCAGTGATATTGGCAACTCAGCAAGAAAACAGGAAGTTACAGTTAATTTCTTGCCATTGAGTCTGTCATACTCGTTTTTCAGTCTGAGTTTGTTCATAGTCCTATTCAAATTAATGTAGCTTCTAAGTTACATTGGGAATGTCTAATAAAAGATAATATGCAATATCTTTTTTATTAAAAACAAACTCAAGTATAGCACTCCACCATTTTGCAGTAATTTTTATGAATGTACTGTAATTGGGTTTTGCATTTATTATTAAAATGATTGCAGTATGACTCTTCGGTGTATAGTTCATTAAAGATGGAGATTTAAATACAAAATTTAGCTGCTAAGAGATTGCTTTAGTTAAATTAAGAATTCCTGTAGCAAAGAAAATTAAGCAGTATATCTACTGGCAAATTAAATTTATATTAGAAAAAAAAATCCCTAAACAATGGTAGCTTCAAATACTCGGAAAGTTCATCCAGTGTGAATTTGAGTGTGATTTAATATGTAAAAAAGGGTAATAGCAGGTAGGTGTGTAATCGTGTTCTCAGTTCCGCCGTAGTTCACCGCACAGCTTTCCTCAGCAGTGCAGGGGAGGCTGCATCTTCCCATTTTGTAGATTTGTAGATCCAAGGAACGTTCATACCAAATGTTAGAGACTTGAGCCTTCAAATTATTAGCTGCTTAATCTTATTGAAGGCAGGGCAACAGGAGAGATTTTGGCTGAGAGCTCTCTGAACTTCTGATTTCTTTTGGTGTAAATGATAATGCAAAATAGATGTCAGTGAAGTTAGGCTGGTAAAAAACCAGATTGTTCGTTAGTCGAGCTTGAGTTGCTCTTCAGCATTGCCAAAATGATGATTTGGTTGTGACAAAAATGAATTGTGGGTACCAAGGATGCTGAAGCTGCAGACTTCAAATTTGAAAGAAGACACAGGTCTTCTCATTGAGTCAGTGATAAGGCTTAGTTGCAATTGAAAAACAAATTTATTTCTTTAATAATAAACGCTCTGTAATAGCTCAGTTAAGACAACCAGATGCAAATTCCAGTCACTGTGAGTTTCAGAGTGTTTTGAGGAACTCACCTGCATCTGAGTGTGTGATCTAACCAGTGTTTGATAGCTGCTGCTTTGCTTTCTGCACATGTTCCTGGAGATGGAATATGTCATTAAATTCAAAGCAATGCTTTGTAGATTGTTGTGGAGAGCAGAGAATGAGGTTTGGGATAAATACCATTTCATAACTGTATTTATTTTCTCTGAGGTCTCTTTCATCCGTGCATGGCTTAATTTTTTTATGGCTTAAGTTTCATGCAACTTGCTGTATTGGTTCTGGAAGGCTGAACAAACCTTTAGAAAACGTGTAATAGTGAATTTCTTGATTGCAGTTGATTAAACTCTCTTCAGACAGTTTTATGTTATCATACAGTTCTTACATGTTCTTTTTCCAGATCTGATTAGGGAGCTTGAACGTCTAGTTCTATTAATGTGATAGAGATGTGTGTGTGAAAGCCTTCTAAACAACTAGGTTTATCTCAAACTAGTAATTACTATTGACTTGAGAAATGTTGAAAAAATATTAAATAAAGCAGTGAAGTTTGAGCAATCATATCTGGGTTTTTGTTGTTGTTTTTTTTTCTTTAGGACACTGTGGACCATTGTATCATAGGAGTAATGATTCTCTTAGAACTGACTAAGGAAATAAATCTAGTAAGCACGTTTCTTTCCTTGTGCAAGGGGTGTAATTACTGATGAAGCAGCACATCAAATGCATCTTCCTTTCATAAAAGTGGTGGGGGAAATATTACGTAGCTGCAACCCGTTTATCTCCCCTTCCTCCCTTTTCCAAAATATGTCAGGAGGCCAGAAATTCACCACCCCGTAACAGATATGTGCCACGTGTGGAACTAATAAAGAGAACTGAATAATCGACTCTTTTGGTTGTGTTGCTGCTAATGATTGTCCTTTTCTATCTTGACCCGAAGAAGTGCTTCAGACCTTTCCATCCAAAGGTACAACCTTGAAGGGTTTAAAAAAAAAAAAGGCATTTCAGGAAGTTGAAAAGGTCTGTATTTATTGCTGAAGTTAGTTTTTATTTTTAAGTGCAAAATAATTAGCCTGCCAGGTGCACACACAGTCCCTTTGTAGCTGAGAAGGGAGCATTGTTGATTATGTCATAACTTTTCCTAGGCTGATTACTCAAGACCTTCAGCAAAACATCATAAATAGCAACCCCATTCTTGGCACCTCTTTAAAGGACATACTGGTGCTTGCGTGCTCTCTTTTAAAAGAGGTGAGGCTCTTCACAATTAAGCTTAAGTTCATAGCATCCTGATTGTCGCAGCATGAATCACTAATATTTTCTTAATCAGGGGGTTTATGTGTGGCCCAGTGAAGCTCAAGACCTAAAAATGTTCAATGGGAAGATGTCCATCTCCCTTCCTCCACGTCTCACTTGCTCTGCGTTTCTGTCCTCCCCGTTTGGCACAAATGGTGAACCATCTAATTCTGAAGGATGTTTGAATGTCTTCCCTTTGTTCCTTTTTATTTTCTCAGCTTCATGTAGTTTAAACTGTGATCAAAGCTGGAATTCATTTTTTTTTTTAATCAATTAAAGCTTTCCATAGCAGCGGAAGTGGCGCCATGAGGAACCATTCTACTTGAGCTCAATCAACTCAGTGCTTTGGAGAGGAGCTCGTTGTTGAAGTGTTACCTGGCTCCAGTTCTTTAACTCCTTTGGGAGTGCTGATTTGTTCACTCCAGTGAGTTGGGTGTTGACATTTGGACACTGGATTTCATGCTGTGAATTTAAATGCAGGTGCTGTGTTGGTATGTCAGTAGGTAATGGTAATGGGGACTTTTTAGAAGGGTATGACACTCAAGGCTCAGACAACTGATTAAGGTACTGCTGTAAAAAGCAAGGAAAATTGTCTTGGTTTAAATTTCTTTCAGTTTGTTGTAGGCAGACTAGTGTGTTTTACCTCATTCTTGCAGTAGGTTTAAATGGTGCACATGATCAGCTACCAGTACTCAGCTGAGGGGCAGTTTTTTAATACATATAACAGTGTGTGAGTCCTTACTTCTAAAGGGGTGTGCTATGCTGATGGAGAAATCGTATGCCATTTAAAAGAGGAACTAGATATTTTTGCAAGAACGTGCCATCTTCTTGGATATAGTAAATGCCATTACACATGGAAACAATAGATGTGTTTATGGGAACTTCCTAGCTTCTTCCAAGTTCAGCTGGTCTGCAGGTGCTTTTGTAGCCTCTGACATGTGAAGAGGCTTGTTGGAGTGACATCACGTGCAGCTTTTGGGACAGAAGTGTATGAAAACTATAATTGGCATCTTTATAGTTTAGCATAGGAAGCTGATTTTAGAAATATTTATCAGCATCTATAGCACATTGAAAAACACGCTCAGATAATAATTAAAGAATCATTAAAATAATTGCAGCCTATTGCATGCAAGAGCCTAGAAGTTAGGAGAGGAGTGGCAGCAAAATGGTTGATATCGAAGTCAAGTGAATTTAATGTCAGTACTGATCTCATGCAGTAGTTGTTAATGAGGCATCTAATGACAGTTAATTCTGATTCCTGTTATCTTTGTTTTGTTGATCAGCTTGAAGGTGAGACTTGGAATTCAAGCAAACGGCAGACGATTACGATGCAAAGTTGTTGCATTTCTTGTACAGTTTTTCAAACAAAATGTGTCCATACAGCATTAAGGAACCACGTCAGTGACTGGTGAATTTGAGGTTTGTTTTTCATGCCTTTGTATTGTGCTTATAATTTTGAAGCAGTAACTTTCTTTAAGATAAAACATTAAATTTTCATTATTACAGTGAGAAATAAATAAAAATGTGTTCTTGCTGTGTTCAGTGTAGATTTCTGAATCCCAAGAGCTTGTTTTGCTTAACAAGTACCTTTTTATTCTGACAGTACAGATGCATTATATTTGCATTGTTACTGCAACAGAGACAGCTGTTTACTACTGTAAATAGCTGAATTCAGATTACATTCAGACTGTTCATTTTATTTTTTATTTTTAATGTTAGACTTTTCTAGACATAGCAAAGGAGTAGTGTGAGTATATTAAGTGAAATCGTGTTGTTTAGCAGGTTGGACAATCGTAGGCATTGAACTGAAAGATCACCAATTGCTGACATAATCCTTTCCCATATGATGTATATGGTAGATGCTCCACGCTGGTCTGGAGTAACCACAACGCATGAAACCTTACAGTTTGATTTTTGCAATGAGCATTAACAGTATTTTAGCAGGCTTTATCGCTGACGTGCCCTGTCTTATCTGTAAGTACTTAAAATTTTTATTTCACTGGGCTTTTAACAGTTGTTTATAAGGCTGAAAGCTTTAGCTTGATGTGAATGATGTACCTGGTAGTAGTAATTTTTCCCTTGTCTTTAAGGATAACTCCATGTCCTATATTTGAAGGATTCCTTTTTTTTTTTCCTCTTAGTGTTCTCTTGCTGTGAACTTTGAAGTTTCTTTTCAAAATTGTTTTCAAAAGATGTTTTATGCAGGTCACCTGACAAGGTGTTTCCTTGGCCAAACCTTTAACCCTTTGCGATCGACGGCAACGAAGTCTAGCAGTGCATCTAGACGGGATGCCCCGTCCTTGGACGTGTTTAAGGCCAGGTTGGACGGAGTCCTGGGCAACCTGATCTAAATGTGTATGTTTGGTGGCCCTGCCAGGCAGGGGGGTTGGAACTACATGATCCTTGAGGTCCCTTCCAACCCGGGTGATTCTGTGTGATTCTGTGTGATTCTGTGTGATTCTGTGTGATTCTGTGTGATTCTGTGTGATTCTGTGTGATTCTGTGTGATTCTGTGTGATTCTGTGTGATTCTGTGTGATTCTGTGTGATTCTGTGTGTGTGTGATCTCTTGAAGCTTGTACTAAATTGTCAATTTTGATTTCATTGGAAACTCAGCTAATGAATCTGCAGATGACCTATGCACTGTGCAGATTCCAGGAAGCTGGAGAAGAAGTAAGAAAGAATCGCATTGCTAGTATTGTAAGCATTCTATACCCACTGTATTGTGTAACTTCTTTTGTCACAATACTTGTACATAGAGAATATTTGCTATGTGTGGCTTTCTTGCTGATGAGTTATTAGGAAATGTTTTGCTATTTGTGTCAAGCTTTTCCTATTATTACTTCTACAGACAAATAATGAGTGTGGTCTATAAGTAGGTATTCTCAGTAAATGAGATTAACTAAAGGCTGAACACTGTTCTCATCCCTCAGATAAGAGCACCTTGAAGAGGTACAGCACTTGTAGCATGTCTAATTTATTTCCTCTTCCTGCTGAGAAAATCATGTATTAAATGTGGTTGTTTGCACTAGAATATGAATTCATTAATGAAGGCAGCAGGAGTGTTATGTTCTGGTTTTTAGACTCTAAAGCTTTGACTTCACAAAATTACACACTGCAGATGGCACTGTAGTGTGGATACATCCAAGTTAGCTCATTACTTGGGGTAATGAAAGCAGTTTAGCACTAGCAACAGGGAGCTCTTTGTGAGCTAATTTGTCTTTCTTCCTGCCAAATTATCCTGTTTGGAAGTCTGCTTTACTTCTGACAAAGCTTCTGTGTTGTCTCCCTTAACCACGATTGGAGGTTTAAATGTGTTTTACTTAGAACCATGGACAAAGCTGTGTTGGAAGGGACCTACAGGAATCATCCAGTCTGACTCCTGGCTTCACGCAGCATCACCCACATGCTATGTCTGAGAGTGGTGTCCAGATGATCCTTGGGCTCCAGCAGCTTGGGGTCGTGCCCACTGCCCTGGGCAGCCTGTGCCATGCCCACCACCCTCTGGTGCAGACCCTTCTGTAACCCCTACCAGACCCTCCCCCAACACATCTCCATGCCATTTCTGGGGTGCAGGCAGCAGAGCTCAGCGCTGCCTTCTGCCGCCTGTGAGGAGCTGCAGCTGCTGTGAGGGCTGCCCTCATTCTGCTTTGCTCTGGGCTGAAAAAACAAGGGACCTCAGCCACTCTTCCTGCGTCTTGCCTGCCAGCTTTTCCCCATCTTTGCTGCCCTACTTGTATAACATGACACTGTAGTGTTTGATACTACTTTTGATTTCAACTGTATTATTCTTCATCGATTTTCATTCCTTTTAACTTAATGTACTGTAGGCTTTTATCACAGCATGAGGCATATTAGATATGTGTGCCAAGCAGGGAAATAGTGATGAAAGGCTGAATTTGTTCAAGTAACTGTAGTTGGCTAAGAGACTTTTTCAAGATTTTACTTCAGATACTTTAAATTTTACATGGAAGGATTTCCCTTTTCCTGATTCAATGCAAACAGTGTATAAGCATATTAACTTGTATTTTTTGCCTGTAGAAATATAGTGCTTATAAACGGAACAACTTCAAATGTTACATCTCTTGTGGGGCTGCATAGTGGTGAATGGTCAGTGCTCTTCTTTCTACACTGTTTTTACTTCTTCATGAAAGAAAGTAGTGCTATAGTTCGCTTGATACGCTTCCATGGTGACCTGCTAATTCAGTCTTTAAAGTTTTCTTTTCTGTGAGAGGCTACCAAAATATATGCTTGCAGACTCTAGCGTAGTCTGTGGGCCTTTAGCTGAAGACTTGCCTTTGCTTATATATGCCTCAAACTAATCCTTCTTGTCTGGTGCCTGTTTTAGTGTTCTGCTGTAGCAACCCAAAGACATCACGGTTACCTATGTATGGTACAGAACAGCTTTCTGCAGGCGACTGAGAGTGTTCTGCATCATGGGTGGTTTCAGGGAAATATTCTTTGAGCTGTAGGACAGATGCAATACAGAGAGAATGGTGTTTTGTGTGATATTGTGCAATGAATATTCACAGTACTTTTGTGAATAATAAAGATGATTCTGTTAAATATACTTAGTTATTGCTGGCAGAAAATAATAAAACCTACTTATCTTTTCCTTTAATCTTCCTGGAGCCAAAGACCTTGGACCTGTTTTTTGATTTGTGTCATTGCCTTCCACCAATGTTGGCTCGGTTAGTAAGTGACACAAAGATTTACACTAAAATGATGACAGTAGTCTTTTTTTTTTTTACATTTATACTGTGTTCAGATGACACGTGTTTCATTCTGTGCATGAACGTATAAATTATGAGTCCCACATGCACTGATTCAGCGCCCAGTCACAATGTCGTCTTTGAACTTTGGCCTTAGTTCTCATTTCTAAGTCTGAAAGTGTTCAAAACCCCTGAATTTCAGCATGACTGCCACGTACAAAGCATCCACCTGATTATTTTGATGAAGTTGTAACCTATTGCAAAAGAGAATTTTAAAACTGAGCCGTAATTGTTTACAATGATCTTCTGGACGTTGCTGAAGGAATAATCTTCAGGTACTGAATGTGCTACAGACACAGTAGATTTGTTTGATTCAAGGAGTAAGATAATAAATATATATATACACACATATATATATATTTTCCAGAATAATATATTATTCTTACATTTATTTTGTTCTTTCTTTTCCTGCTTAGTTCAGTTTGCTTCTACAAGGAGATCTTTATTCAGCAATCCAGAACGTGCCAGGTATCTTGGTAATCTAACCATAGGAGCGAAACAAATACTTGAAAATCCGCAGGTATCTGTCTGTCTGCTTGTGATTCTGTTTATTTGGAATGCTGAAACAGCTGTGGGCTTGTTTTTGCCTGTCACATTTGTCATTAATTTACTGCATCTATCAAAACCACTTTCAGCCTGCCATCTGTTTGCTTTGCTTTACTATTCAAAATAAAGCAGAAATGCTGTGCAAATGAAATTGTCACCTGATCAGCCACAGTGCTCATAAAAATTCTACTAAATTAAACTGTTGACTTTTTAAAAATTTACTTCTTTGAATTTAGGGTTTATCTGATCCCTTGAATTCTGTCGGTTCTTGGCTCAGCTGATGACAAACCATCAACTAGGAGAGTTAGTGACAGATTACCCAGAAGTTTTCCAGCTCATAGCAAACTGTACCGTTACTGGCCTACAGGTAGGAACGTATACTGAAGTTTTCTGTTCTGTTCTACTATTGAAAGACAGAGAAGTTGATCCCGATTTGCTTTGTTGATTTATGTGTTTTTTGAGGATGTGGTGAGCCTTGACTTGACATAGAAATGTATTGTTAGTGATGCAACATCACACAGATGCAATATCACATAGAAGTATACTATTAGTGATGTTACTTCTAAAATCTTTGCAGCTGGTTCCTGTTACGCCCGTGGAGTTCTGTAATGGGACTAGGTTTAAAGGAGGAATAGATGACTGAAATAGGACCTAGATGTTAATCCTCCAGCTCTAGTCCTTACCCTAAAAAAAAAAAAAAAAAAAAGGCAAACTAGACCCTCTGTCCAGGTCTAAAATGCTTAAACCTGTGCTCCCTTTTGAACTTAGTGCCTACACTGACTAGATGCTTGAAGCTCTGGTTTTGCATCTTTGCATCTCTAAATTTTTGTGTACATACATATATAAACGTGTACATGTATATGTACAGTTGCCTATATGCTAAGCTGCTAAGTTGGATTCAGAAACTGGGTGAAATAGAGTCTAAATTTGTGAGGGGTCCCTGCATACCTGTGAAAGATGTAGAGGAAAGACCTGATCCTGGAAGACAGGATCAAGATTCTCACACTTCTTAAAAATCTTACGGATTTTTTGGGTGTGCCCACTGTTTGAGTAACACTGTGATTGTTAATTTACTGTTTCCTTTGGAAGCTTTCTCTGTTCTTCATTACAGCAGTGGAAGATAACACCCAGCAGTAGGGTGCTGCTCCTGTAGGCCAGAGTGTCAGTGGGTAGCACACTGCAGTAACTGTGAGCGTGGTCCGTGGTGTGTTCCATAACATCTCAATTCTGACAGGGTCCTTCAGTATTTAGGTGAGTGAATAAAACTGCTCAAGATAAAAGCATTGTATTTCACAAGTAAAATTTCACTCTGGGGTGCTTTAACAGATGTATGTTTTGGTTTCTTACAGCACTGGGAGTTTGCTCCAAATAGCGTTTGTTATTTGGTAACTCTGTGGCAAAGAATGGTGGCATCTGTACCTTTTGTGAAAACAGCAGAACCCTGCCTCTTAGATACCTGTGCACCTGAGACAACAAAAGCTTATATTACTTCCAGACTGGAGTGTGTTCCTGCAGTAGTAAGGTAAATTTGTAATTGCAACTGTTGGAACTGTAACACAGAATGTTTAATTTTCAGTTGTATCAGTGTGTTACATTTCGGTTATGTTTAAAACTCTAATTCTGATGACCAGGGCAATATCTTATTTGATTGACACCATCTACTCTGATTATTAAATCCAGGTCAATATCAAATGTTGGTTCTAGCTCTTATTCCTCTTGCAGTCTCTTCTGTTCTTAAAAAAGCCTTTTTTTCCTTCTATGCACATTGCTCTGAAAATAATGCCTCCTGTTTATTTCCATGGAAACTACAACAGAGAGCTGAAGAGCACATTAGCATTATTTGATAGAGAAAATTCTCAGTTAGTAAACGCTGTTTTCGAGCCTAGTACCCACCGTTTGCTCTGCATTTTTGCCAGCAGTGAACAAGAGCTGCATGGTGTCCTTTTAAAGATCTGCACCAGTGGAGGTCTTCCACTGTTTCACAGCTGCTATGATGATGGTGTTGCTAGGAAAATGTTGCCTAAACAGTCCATCTTTCATGAGTTCTAACAGATGCAAGTCAGAAGGCACCAAGTCTGGACTGTACAGTGGTTGTGGCAGGACTTAGAAGCCACAGTTGGCAATGGGCTGCATGTTCTTCAAACTGGTATGGGGCTTGGCGTTATCATGTTGCAGGAGAAAGGTCATGATCTTCTGCATGAGTCTGGAAGTTTGAGACTTCCTCTTAGTCTGTGTCACACTGCACCAGTCAGAACTGATGGTTTGCCCGGTTTCCAGCAAGTTCAGACAGATCACCCATTTCCTGTCCCAAAGACTGAGCACATCTCTTTACCTCCTGAGGGCGCATTTTGAACTTTTTCTTGAATGGGAAATTCGTGTCTCATCACCCATTGGGCTGTGGTTTTGGTACCAACTGGTAGTGACACGACATCTCCTCACTGGTAATGATGTGTGATTCAGGAAACTGTCACTTTCAGCCTCAGACTGGTTCAGTAGTTTATGACAAATTTACAGGTGGTCTTCTTTCTGTTCCTGTGGAGGTGTTTGTGGGACCCGCCTGGTGCAAACATGGCAATATTCCAATGTTGCCAACATTGCTTCCAGTGCATTGAAGCTGATGTTCAGCTCCCTACGCAGCTCCTTGGTTGCATTTGGACAGTTTGTGAGGATGAGCTGGTTTACATGCTCTTCATTTTGTGATGTGAACACATCACAATGATGGCTTAGCTTTGACATCGCTGTGACCACTGCTTGAACACACCTCCTCGCTGTGCTATATCCACTGTTTGGTCTCTGAAAATGTTTACCAAGCATTGCTGAATGTCAGTGGCGCCATTTTTTCCATGTGGAGGAACTCAGTCCCACACCTTTGCTTCATATGAACTTCCATACAGTTGTGACAGACTGGTCTTCTGCTGCTGCCATCTGTCACAGGCCAAGAAAATAATGCAGAATATCGGTGGGAAGGTTTATCCGTTTCTGTCATCCCACTACCATCCACTTTTGACATTGTGAGCTAGTGTAATAAAACATGAGGCATTACTTTTGGAGCAGCCGTTCTAAGTTAGATATTACCTTTTCAGCAGTGACCTATTTATATATGCTGCTTGATTAGTCACTTTGTAGTGCCGTGGGTTTCAGAGTGATGGGGGAAAGCAGCAAACTCCATGCATTAGAAAGCCTAAGACAGCACAGTGCAAGCTGGAGTGCCAAGATTGAAATGGGCTGGCTAACAATTTCTGAGCTCAAATCTTTTTTTTTTTTTTTTTTAAATAGTTTAAGTGTGCCTTATAGTCCACACTGTAATACAGTGAATAAAAAAAAACACATTCAGATTACTGAAAGAATTTAGTTTTTTGAGGGCTTTCACGGATACCTGTTAATGAGATACTGCAGGACTGCGGAATAAACCACATCTGCTTTTCTTTCTCAGTTTTCTTTTGCTGAGATATATTTGGTCTGCTTGTGTGAGGAAAGACATTCAGCTTCACCGTTGTTATCCTTTTGTCTCAACTTAGCCAAAATCTCATGCATGCATCTCTTCTCATCTCATTTTTTAGTGGCTAAGCTGCTGTTGGTATTACCTGTGTGAGGTACGTTAAAGGTTCCTGATGACTCAAAGTTGTATGCCTCCAGCACTCCAAACCTAGAAACAGGAAGAAGCAGCAGCTTGGTGTATATGCAGTTAGTTTTCTTATGCCATGTCTCAGGCAGATTAAACTTCCTTGACATTTTAAGTCATATTTTCTGTTCTGATTTTCTGCACTCTGTGTCGTTCTTAAGACAGTCCTGACATTGCTGTGAGCATGTAACCTCCTGCTGCTCTAACTGATGTATCTTTATGACGTTGTCGTACTTTCTTTTGTGATGAAGATCCTGTTATGGCATTTCAATAGACAGCTATATCAACTGTAGTCTTTGATAGTAAGTGTCTAGACAGTTCTTGAGAAACACGGGATGATCTGTCAAGAATTCTGTTTGCTCCAAGAACGTTAATTGGTATCTTTGTCAGTAGGTCTTGCTTTCTGCAGTGATCATTTTCCTTACAAGCCAGTATGGGTGATAATATCACCCTTCATTAAGGAGGTTATACATTCAGAGAAGGATGCCCAGCTGTTTTATATCTTTCAAAATTGAGGTGTTAGCACTGGGCACATTAATATGTCCACATGCAGAGGAAGCCAGTCTGCATGAGCCATTTGGGCTCTAAGCCAAAGAGACGAAACCTCCATCCATACTATGAGTAAACCTTTCAATACCAAGGAGATGTATTCTACCTGGAAAGAAGTAATTTCCTTCTACAGTGCTCCACGGTCAGTGTGCTCACGGATTTGATAGCCTTTCTACCTAAAGTAGAGCCCAAGCACCGAGATTTCAGCTTTCTTTGCTGTTTCTTTTGGGTTTTAAAGTTCAGTGTAGACTTTTATTTTCACAGCCTGCTTGTCTGATTGACTCCTGAGCTCTGTATTCACCTTGCAGTCATGCTTGCATTCCTTTACAAAAAATATGATGCTTTATCTGTACCCAGTGAAACATTTCTGAAGACTCTACAGATTGTTCATTGCCTGTGCAGCAGCAGATTAACCTGCTGATGAGTAAACTTTTCCTACTGTGATTTGTGTAATAAGTACAGTTATACTTCACAGGAAGAGATATTGCTCTTTTTGTTAGAGGTATTTCTTGTAGAAGAACCCATAATAAGCATTTATAAAGCAACTGCATGGAATTTTACTGAAACTTCTTGGCTTTGATATCATGGTCTTGTACTTAATTTGATGGATGTGCAAAATTCCCTTCCGCTACATATTCCATTCTTTTCCACAGTTATCCTGTGAGAAATATGCTGCCTGTATATTCAGGCATAGGCACAGAGGACCTCAGATTTTCAGGATTTATTTTTGCGTTCATACTGCCAATCTCATCTCCTATCTGCCTTGTAGTTCTTTGCATTTTAAGCTGTACATTAAGAGGATAGCACAAATAGAATATTGTTCTGATGGGTAGAGAGGGGTATGTGTGTATTTAAAATGAGGGCTTACATCTGTCTGTTGTGTACACCAGGTGCTATGGCTTTCATATACAGCTCAGCATTTCAGTGACAGTTGGGCAAGATCCGGATGGGAAAGCGAAGAAGGAGCTTTCAGGCAATGTGATTAAGTGGTTACTTTTTATTTCTATTCTAGAGATGGCCTGGAAGATTCACTGGATGATACAGCTACAGTTTTCCAACAAGTGGAGCAACTATGCGGTTAGCAGGTGTGGATGTGAAAAGATCTCTACACTTCTTGGACAGTTGTTTGACCAAAATGCCCAAAACTACCGAAAACTCTTGCACTCCTCTAGTAGGAATCCATTAGAAGTCACAGTCCAGGAAGGTCAGTATTTAATGTTTAGATTGTTTTATGTGCAGTATAAATATCCTTGCATATGAAAGATTTATGATTTTACAATGATCTTATGGCAGATGCCTCTCCATCTTTTCTGGAACTAGAAATTCATGTTCCAAGTGACCTTGCACCACATTTTTGCTGGTTGTCTTTATGTTGAATAGATAGATGGACAGTTGATACCTTTAATATCTTGTTACGTCTTTAAAGTATAGACATGAGAGCTCTAAAAACTCCTTAAATTTCTGAACATCAACCTATCAGTGCCCCAGGTGCCCTAATAGGAGCCAGCTGCTATTTGAGCATTTTCTGGAATTGAAGATCTTAACTTTTTTCCTCTTGCATTTATCCATCTGTAAAAACTAAATTTACTTTTAAAACTTTAGCTTACATTAAACAATTCTGTTAAGGTGAATTACCAGACTTCTAAGAAACCCAAGTGAATTGTTACTGCGTAAGTTGTAAAAGTAAGTAGTGCTTTTGATGTATTTTTGGGTACCTATTTCAGGGCTCTGTATCTCACCTAACTGATCTTTACAACCACTGGCTCTTTCTTAATAAATTATCTTACATGTGTTGCATCTTTACACGGATAAATGGTGTTGTTTTGACAAGGTGAGACAGCTTACTTGTTATACAGCTGTTTCTTTGCATGCTTTTAAATATTTATGATATATTTTGCTGTTCTTCCATGGGCAATTCAAATTCCTTCTATGTAGGAGCTATTTTTTCATGGATGCATATAAAACCTTTCACTTACCTGATTTTATTTATTCCACTTTCTCCTATGCACCCAGCAACTTCTATGTGGGAGAACTTCCACTGACTGACCTGATTTCATTGACTAGCTGCAGTCTGAGTTTACACTGCATTACCCAATAAGGGGGACCAGAGGGATGGAATGAGTTGGAATCCTTCAGTGTTGGTGCTCTGGGGACTGTGCCTCTGTGCATTAGGAAATACTTGATGCAGTTTAAATTTTGTGTTTCTTTTGTGTAAACAGAACACTTGTGCTCACGGAGAACAATAGCTGCTCCATCCCTTAGACATATGTAGTTAAATTTAGATGTTTAATGGCTTTTAATGGTGCAAAATAAGTTAATACCATATTAAGATCCCATTTTATTATACTGTCTTGCTCTCAGTATCAATAGTGATTTGGTCATGGTTTACTAAAACAATAATCCCCAAGAAATGGGTCATTAGCAGTTGTTAATGATTACTCGTGATCTGTGGTAATGACTCATTTCTTTGGGATTATTGCTGTTATAAACCATAATTACAGATTATTACTGCAATAATTATTTTCTAAAAGAAAAGATGTTGTCTGCCTAGGTAGCTACAAAAGCAAATGCATTTTAAGTACTGAGGGTCTAAAAGAGGGAAAGAAGTTAAAACCTTTTAATTGTTGTTGAGAGAAGAGGGCATCTCATCGTGTAACTAAACACAAGCTGCTCCCATTTGCAAGAGGATGTGGGTTTTTATTTTGAAAAAGATTATTGGGCAAAGTGATTGTTATGGTGTTTGAAGAGGCTTCATAGTTTGTGATACTATCTTCAAAGTGCTATTCTTTAGTAGCTGTTAATGCTGATTTAATTTGAGCTCTAGTTGTTCTCTCAGATGCTTCGGCTGCTCAGTATTTAGTTAGTGATGGTGTTAATCTCTCCATGTCTTAGATTAACAGCTGTTTGTACTGCAATCTGTGATGTGTGTTTGATGCAGTTTCGCTTGGAAATGTTGTATTTTATGTTGGTTGTGGGTCCGTGGTGTCAACTGCCCTTACAGATAATAATTATTTGGAAATGGAACAGCAAAAATGCAAGAAGATGGTTACAAGTTTTCATCACATCTCATCTTAAAAGTTGACACTTTTCTGTTTTCAGTTCCAGATCTTGTTGTGTATGTATTTCTGTGGTAATTTAAAAAAAAAAAGAACTGAGATTTAAGATAAGCCCAAACTTGTCTTGAAATGGTCTGCATTATTCCATATTCAGCATTATCTTTTAGTGTATATTTGATCCCCCCCATCTTTGTTATGTCATGAGGTTTTCTTGTGCCTGCGGCACTTAGATGTATGGAATGCACTGTACCACAGGTCTGACTGAAGCACAATTACTATGTTGAATTGTCATGTGATAAACCATGTTCAGGTCGTAAGGATACTGGAACATCTCAGAGCTGTTAATGGTTCCTCACTGAAAGAGCTTGGGAAGCAGAGCATTCATTGCTTTCTCATTTCTGGATTTTCCAAAATACAACCATGCTTAATGTGAGGAAATTGGGTAATATTTGATGTTGTGTGAATGGAGAGTAGTTTATCAGAGAACGTGAAACAGACTTGTACAAAACCTCAGAGATTTTGACAGGTACTGTTCTTATAGCAGTCCCCGCTTGTACATAGAAACATTCAAGGTAGAACGTTGGTTTAAAGCTGTGATGTGACCTCATCTGTTTATCTGTAATTTTTTGCTTATGTTAAACTTCAAAATGTGTTCTGAAGACTTCAGACTTTATTCAGTGTGCTGTATTCACTCTTGTAAGTTATGCTGTCATCGCTTGGTAAAATCCTAGTGATGACGGTAAGAGATCTGGCTTATGTAAATCTCACACTTAGTGAGAACCCTTATTTCTAACTTGATGTAACCTGCATGGAAACTGTTCCAATTTATTTGTCTTAGCTGTGTTGTTGTTTTTAATTTTGTTGGAATTCATTACAAAGTACCTTTTGCCAGATGAAGATGGAGTCTAAAAGTAGCTTTAGTGTTCTGTTGCCTCTGTGCATTTCAGTTGAGGAAGGAGTCTGTAGATGTCCCAAAATATGTACAAATTTGTATGTTAGTTTGCCATTTGGTTCTTAGCTTTGACACTGCTCTGCTGAGAGAGGATGCTGTTAGGTACTGGATTCACAGCTTAAAAAGCTGAAGCAGGAATCTGCTTGGCTTCTGTAGGTAGAGGTAGGTCAAAGATCATAGAAGTATGACACCCTAACTTGCCAGAGAGGCTAAAATAATCCAGACTTTGCAGTGTGGTAGTGAGCGTCCAGCAGAACAGAGGCCGAAATAATTCTTGGTTTGATGTTTGTAAACTTGGATTCCATACTTAGAAAGCTGGATTTCAGTATTTAGCATCTTTATGGTCTGTGCTAAATACATAAGCTGAAGGATCTGCAGGATCAGAAAGGATGATGGGGTAGTATGAAGCAGAGACTTCGGGAAGTATTTAGTGGTTTAGAAGTTCTTTTCATTAAGAATATGCTTGACTTAGGAAAATAAAATTTTTCTTTTGTACAAATGATTTTTCACATTCAAAATAAGACTTTAGATGTCAGTTGGACGTTACAAGTAATTATTTTAAATAGAGCAAAGAAAGGAAGCAGACGAGAAAGTCTCAACTGTTTCATAATGCTGTTAAGTAGATACAGCTGTGCCACAGTTGTATTCTGTGAAATAATTTGTAGCTGTGAAGATACTAGATTAATTATATGTCTTATCTTGAGCATGATGAATTTGTTTTTTGAGTTTGTATGTGATTTGTATTTTAAGTTGGTTCTGTGCTGTTTTGTATATAAATGCATCCAGTTTAGTGAGCTGTTGTAGTTTATCTGTCAGTTCTCCTCAGAATGTTGGTTGAGTTCTCTGGGTAGGTTTTAAGTCTGAGAAGATGAGAAACTTAACCATTCTCTTGAGAGCATTCTATGGTCTATGATACCTTAAGAAAGCTCTGATGCCTTATGGAAGTGTATTGTACTACCATAATGGCTTGTCATCACTAACTGTTCTTTTCTTTTTAATGTTAGGACATCTGGCACGGCCTGTCTACTTTGTGGATACTTTCGTGGGGGGAAGATTGATGTACACTAGCTCTGTTAAACATGATGCTCTGGATGGAGAATTACCCTGTCAGTAAGTATTGCTTGATTTCATTTCTGTTTTTATAATGTTTTAGTATCGACTAGTATTCACATCGATTAGTATTTGAACTCGACTGTCTCAATCCATTGTTTGGATGGTGGGTGTTCCAGAATTGTGTGTTTCTGTGCACTGCAGCCATTGCAGTGACCGTGGTCTTTCCTCTGTCACCATCTTGAGTAGTGAAGGGGTCAGTAAGGCTGCTATCATGTCAAAGTTCTGCTGAAGAGGAATGGAAGAAGCCTAAAGGCAAACATGTCTCTTGCCATACTCAGTGTTGAGATATGATTGGATAGCTACTGGATATTTTTGTTGTTATATTCCTATAGGAATATTAATTTTATTGATTGTGAGCTGTGGTTACTATTTTCTGTGCTGTTTCCTTCCTACTAATTGAGAGTCTTGCAAGCAAAGGAGTGTAGAGGAGCTGCTAGTCAACCACTGAAAGCTTGGGTGACTTTTAGACTAGAACTAGGAATAAAGAGGCAGCTTTAGATTTAAAATGTGTGTGCTGTAGTCCCTATCATGCAAACTTTGAGGTTAAGGAGTATGCTAGGGAGTATTGCAAATTACATACATACTTTGTGGCAGGTAGAAAGGATGTGACACACGCTTGATCCTTGTTTACACCCATTGTTACCTATGTTACACCAGGAGCATATGAGAAAGGGCATGCATCGTTGAGCCTGATATTTACACCAGCTAACACACAAAAAAGGGCATGCAGTCTATAATGGGATAAAAAGCTTTGCATTTTTTCCTGTTTCTTGCATTCCTCATCTGCCCTGGGGCTGTGCGGTGTTAGCAGTCTCCTGCTATGTTTTTATTAATAATACAATGTTTTCATATATAGACTTACAAATGAAGTGGCCTGCTGACTTCTGATCTAGTTACTCGGTGTTTCAGTATTGGGAAAGAGTGAGAATAACTTTTTGAATTGTTATGGAACTAAGATTTCAAGGAACTGATCATAGAAGAACATGAAAGTGTAATAAAGTAATATGAAAAAAAATACTCTTAGCTGATTAAAGCTGTAGTTAATTCTTTGAAATCAGTCCTGGTAAAGAGATGTGCACAATGTGAGAATTTGGATCAGAAAATACTGTATGGATGTTTTAGGAGGCCGCGCATCATATATACATATAAAAATTTATTTCTGAGTACAATAGCTTCAATCTTCAGGGACCCTGAGACAACTCTTACCTTGCACTTTCAATTTGCTTTTATTACAGTGAGGAATTAATGATCCAAGAACAGAAAGTATTTTACAAACTTGCCACAGCATAGCATACACATCTGAGAAAAATTTCAAGTGACAAAGTAATTAGAAAAGCATTATGTTGATGTTTTATGTTTAATAGTGGTCAATTAGCATAATTGGCATCTAAGCAGAACAAAATCCTAGAAGATACTTAGGCAAACAAAAAATGGCTGATGGGTTCCTAAAGAGATTAGCTATGGTAATATCATTTAACTTGAAAGTCCATCCTGAAAACATCTCCTTTTTTTGTTACCAAAGGCTGTTTCAACAGGTGCCTTTGGATGCCCAGGTACCACAGGCTGGTAATGAAAAAGTAGAACTGGCAATTTTGTGGTTCTTGGATCGGTTTCACAAACGTGTGTGGGGGAGCAGCCTCAGCACACCTCAGAGGTAACGTGTGCTCTGAAGAGTGACGTGAAAATGGAGCAGGCCTGTGGAGAAATGGACCTGACAGCACACCTGGAGCCACGTAAGCTGTGAGCTTAGCGGTGGTTGGTTGGATAGGTGTGTAATTTACTGGTGTGGTGTCATCGTGCTCTTAAGTTTAAGCATGCGAGGAGTGAATATTTTAACAGCTATGTTCATTAAACAATTCTAGGTTACTTTGCATTTCAATTTTTTATTTCAAACATTTAGCTGGGTTCTGCTATATTGTGTTATATTTCACAGCTGGGTATGCAAGATTTATTCTTTTAATAGTTCTTTTCTTTTGACAGTTACTCATTTACGTGGTTTCCACTGTATTTCTCTCATTACTTAGCTTTTCTGCATTTTAAGTACGAAAGAGGGAAAAGTAAGATGCATTTTTGAAGAAGCAGCAGTTAATTCACCTTAACTGTAGGGGACAGTCATAATATAGATGTTATAAAGAGAATGTCAGTAAGATGAGATCAATTGATCTTGGGAAAGACTGAGAGTTCTGTTGGGAGCCCCAAGCGAATCTTTAGCAAGAGTTGTGACAGTGACTGAGATCTGATTTTACTGCTGTAGTGCTGTATCCTTTTTTGTGATTGGCACCAATCTCAAGAATTCCTTTATCCCTTTGGGTTTGAACTGTACTTCAGCTTCATGGAATACTTCCTTACTTAGAATGAAAAATTGTGTTACGCTATACTGAATTGCCTTCTCATGAAAATGATGTGTTCCTTTCGATTGTCAAAGCTGGTTTGTTATTTTTAAATATGGCACGATTCTCTGGTGCTAAGTGAAGGTACATAGCACATTTTTACTGGTATTTCCACTAGCAGAACTCCTACCGATGGCAATTCAGAGGCAAAGTGGCTGTATTTGCTGTTAATCTGATCTAATTCCCGGATTATTTTGTCTCTTTGTCCAGTTTTCATCAGGTTTGAGAATTTTGATTGTATGGTTTTCTATTCTGACTGACTGGGCTCTCACTGTGTGGAGAAGTCCAGTCGGTACAGTGTGCTGTAACACTGTTGGGATGCTGACTGCCTAAGCTCCATGTCCTTCATTAGGGAAGGCTGGGAGCATTTCAGTGTGGGTAAAGCAGTGCACACCTGGAACTCCCTTCTCAGGAGATAAAATGCAAAATTTATATGTTTGCAAACCACCCTTGAGTTCAGTGCCTCTGAATTTATCTGACTCAGCAATGCGTTTTGAATAACCGTAAGACTAGCTCTGTGATTGCACTGTGTGGAAGGTTAAATGGTTTGTTATCGAGTGAAGTGCTGCCTGATGTTTCCATTTGATTTATTGAAGAGCAATTAGATCAGAAAGAATTAGCTTTTACCCAAAGGGCTCAGTGTAAAACTGTAGGTTGAATTCAAGAGAAGATGGTGGTGGTGGTGATGGTAGTATTTTTTTTCTCCTCTCAGTGAGTGGGCATGAATCAAACTGTTGCTATATCATATTCCACGTTCTGCTTATGGTTGTGACCTGTGTGTTGTCAGTGACCAGCCCAGGAAAGTGGAAGGTTTGCCAGGGTGCCAAACCCTTCAAAGGCTGTTTCTAAATTCTAGACCGAGTCTAGCAAGTCTAGTTCGTTACAAATGCATTTTCAAGACGTCCTTTTCTAATGGTTTGCTTACAGTATGTACCAGCAGAATTTAGTTTGCAGTCAAGTTACACTAATTACATTTCCTTTTTTCTTTTCTTGTTTTTGTTTTGCTCTCATAGGCTGAATATAGCAGCCTCCCATTTGCATTGATAGAATTCTGTGCTCCGTATCCCATTCCTTTAGCTGATCTTACAGTGAGAACTGTGTAAATCTTCTGAGCTCCTAGCTGTGGTTTTTTTCATTTTCAATTCTTAATAAAGTCATTGTATATATTTTGCAGTTAAGAGAAACCAGAAGGCAGCACTTGTATGATGATTCTTCTGTTCTATCCTGCTGTAGCAGCAAGTGTAGCAGCAGATGGCATTCTACCCTCACAGTTGTAAATCCCATGGTGCAGTGTGCTGCTGGCAGGTATTTACAAATACACAATAAAAAGGCTTGCGCTTGGTAGCAGAAATATCAGGCATATATCAAGTGACTAACTTAATACATATTTCGATAAATATTCAACACGGTTTGAATGGATTTATTTACAGAATGTGTAATGGAAATTTTGCACGCTTCAGCCATGTTGAAGTAATCTCCAGGAGTATTTCACCATTTAATCATACACTTGCATGCAGAAAATGGTTACAGAAGGCAGAGTAGTTGAACAAAATTGTGGAGCACATTGTGTAAGTAGATTAATTTTATTCATTAATTGACTCATTTTTGCATCCGTGCATACTATAAAAACAAGCCCATGATAGATGAACTTTGGGCTCAGTAAATAAGTGCATTCTTAGTAAACAGTCCATCCAGGCTGACTGTCTAAGGAAAAATAGGAAACTCTTGGAAATCTCTTCCTTGATACTGTGATATACTTGAATTACCTTTGTGTTTCCAATACAAAAACAATACATCAAAATGCTATCTTCTGAATTTAATAGAGCATGTGAATGAGTAAATATTATATTCCTGCTAAATACTACACTGGGCTCTTTGGCACTGTGTAGCTCTATCAAGTTTCATCTGTTCTGTTTTCTTCTGAGCTGTTGTAGGTGGAAATATTCGTATCAGCACTCTCTGTGTGTTTCTCAGCAAGGAGCACGTGGCACGTGCAATACCTGTGGGGCTTGATGCAACTGAGTATCAGGAATATCTTTGAGCATGAGAAAGTGGCAGAGAAGGCTGCCTGCAAATCCCAGAGGTGAGGAGGCAGTGGGAGGGGTTTGTAACCTTCCCCAGCATGTTTCAAACCACTGCCATGTTGGCAGCTGACAGCATGGGACGTCATGGGGGGCTCTGTGTCTTACTGACAGTGTGAATTGTCAAGAGGAGATCAAACTTTAACTTGCTGGAAACATTTTGTTAATAAATATTTCATAAGAGGTTAAGTAGCTAAGTTAGCTAATAGCTAAGTCACCTCATAACATTTCTGAACTGGAGAAAAGGTTAATATATATATGTGTATCGAAGTAAAGTTCTTATTGTTAGTTCCTTTGCACATTCAGGTTTGGTGTGAATGGTGAAATAAATGGCACTTAGCTGGTTAAAAAAACAAAAGTGATTGACAATAGAAATATTATTTAGTAGATTATGAGAGTGGTTCTATAGAAGAGAAAGAAATTGCGTTTAAAATGTTCTGGCGTTGCATGGGCAGTGGAATTAGGGTACAGAACTGTACATTATGTCACTTCACTGTTTTGTCACTCTAGCAGAGTAAGAATTGTATCTTCCACAATTGTGTACTTGCCATTTGTGCTTTGTACAGCATGTGGCGCTATTAGTCTAGATTTGTCCCTTCAGTTTCCTGTTGCCGTTCTTCAAACAAGAGGTCAAAGCTGGAAGGTATTCACGTGTCAGGTGAGGGGAGCGTGGTGAAAATGACGTCGGTAACGGCAAGTATTTGAGGCTGAGCTGCGCTCTTCGGCAGAGCCTGACTGAAGGTTATTGCTGGAGCTCTGTTCTCAGCTTCTGTAGGCAGAGCCTTTTTTAGACCCATAATCAGAACAGTTATGCTCAGAAGGTTGTGTTTTCTATATGAAAATCAGTTGTTGGTATTGCTTTAAGTAGCTCAAAACTTTACCCAAAGGCACTTTGATTGTTAACTCCTTTACTCCACCACAAGGCAATTCATGGTTTTGTGTTCTGCTCTTTCTAAGCCAGCAGTAGCCCTAGTGTGGTTCGAGTATTGTGCAGCTGTTTTTGGTATGTTCTAGGTGGCAGTAGTTTGAGAGATACCTCCTGAAGTGCAGTAGGGTGTTCTGCTAAGCCATGCTTTTCCTTTGCTCTGGCTTTAAATAAAAGTGGGAGAGACACAAAGGACAAAATAGGAGTTATAATCCAGGTAATTTTGTTTCTGGGTAACAGCCTCATGTAAAAATGAAGAGAGAGAGCTGGCGTCTTTGTCAAGTGCAATATATGGCATCTAATTTCTTTGTTACACTGGGGCAAGTGAGAGTGAACAGTAACATAAAAGTTTTACACGTACAAGTTGAAGCATGACAGTAAAGTAGGGTGTGGAGGATGCAAATGGCACATCTTACTGTATCCTGCACCTTTTATTATTTATGTGGTGAATATGAAGATGTTACTTTATTAACGTTTAGGATTGCATCTGTTTGTGTTTTTAAAGCTTTTAAATTACGGGCTTGACATGTGAGGTAGATCTGCATTATGATTAAAAAAAATATCTGGAGGGTCTAAAATTTAGACTACAACGTGTTAAGAGGGGAGGAAAAATATCATTTCCTTGCTCTGTTATTTGCAGTAGCTGAAAGCAAAAAACACATGTAACCAAGTATCATCTAAGCACAGAACAGGGGTTTGTCTTCTAATGCATAACTTGGGTACTTGTGTTCTGTTGACTTACGTTAGTTTGATATTTCTTGGGTGTATGTATATTTGATTACACTGCCTGCAGACACAGAAGCATGACCTAGCAAAAAAAGGAAGAAAAAATGCAAGCCACAGCAAACAGAACAAAAAACCAAGCCCACAGCTGTGAGGATCTGACTGCTTTCACTCTGTGCAGGTAGAGACTCAGATCTGTGGGAATCCCTCTGACATCAGCGAGGATCTTTGTGAGCGAAGGTGTTGATTGATTGTGGTGCATCTCATAAAACATCCTGTGTCCTGGTGTCCTCGTGATTAATCATATCTTAACACTTATGAATGATCATTATTTTCTGAGCTGTAAAATATATATGCTGCTTTATTTCATTACAGTGAGGTGAAGATCACAATGCTGACAGGTGGTGGAAATTAGCAGGCAGTTTTGAAATTGTTCTGTGTGCTAGAAATTAGATCTCATTTTAATTCAGCTTTTCCAAACTAGTAAATGAGGTTAATGCCATACATATTCAGCTGATATGGATGAAGAAATTGATATAAAGTAGATCAACATAGCTACAGGGCTACTTTAATTTATAGGTAAAGAGGCAGTGATAAATGGAAGTAATGTAGTAGTGGTCACTAAACTCCTCAGCCATCAGGGATTCAATAGCGTTAGCTGCTCATTAAAGGCTTGGTCGGGGTACATCAAAAAGGAATTTAAGAAGAAATAGCCAACTAACCCTTAATTATCAAAACATAGAAAATACTAATTATGCCTTAATTAGCTTTTCTTTTAATGTACTGAAATTGTTACTTTTTGTGTAGCACAAATGGATAGTTATATCAACAATAAATAGGTTGTTTTAATAACTTTCTTTTACCTCTGGGAAAACCACACTCCAATTTTTAATATGCAATAATGCTTCTCTCTAGCCTGTAGGAGATGAAAATTATTAAGTAGCTTTATTTTTTGAAGATTTTACAGCAGCTTTGGGAAGAATTATTTCACCGTGCATCAATTATTTTTAATTGAACTGAATATTTTTCAGATTGCATGAAATGCCTCTCATTTAAGTTTAACATTTAGAGTTTGTTAAGGAAGCATTGTAGTGAGAATTGGGTACAACTTATTTCCGTGGCATATTTTGGGAAGAATAAAGAATGGCTGTTTCAGAAGAAAAACAGCGTCACGAATGTTTTTCACTTCACTGGGCCAAACCTCATTTTGTTGTTCCACAGCTACCCTGCTGTGCTGTGAGGCAGCAGGAGCCTCCTTCTCTGAGTTGGGTTCAGTCTCCTTGCAGGTCCTACAGGAAGGCAGGCACTGGCTGCCATGCAGCTTGGATCCGTCTGGTACTGGTGACAAACTTCAGCAACTCTCGCAAGATCCTTTTCTTTTTGAGGCAGAATGCATGTGCAGAAAGGAGTGACCCGACCAGGACTGAGCAGGTTTTATCAAAGACAGCAAGTGTGGTTACAGTATGTATAGGCACTGCATAGGGCTGGTCATAAATGCCTCCAAATTCAGGTAATTTTCACTCTCTTTGGGAATTGAATTGAACATAATTACTAGCGCATGAATCGAATAAAGTAGACGGCAGTCAAACTCAGGTGCTGGTTGGTGATCAGATTAGAAATCTCCTGATTTCTAATCTGTAGAACTGAGGCAAACATCCCATCCGAGAAATCTCATTGCTGATTCCTTTGTAAACCTTTTCTCCTAAACAGTTTCAACTGCAAAATTGAGCAAGTATTGGGCTTACATGCAGAACTTGAAGTTATAAATACCACTGCATATTTCAGAATGCTTTAAATGTTGATACGCACTAGTTCTGTGGGGTCAACATGCTGTTGAAGATAAGACTGAAATAGACTAATACAGTTGCTTTATTCAGCAAATAAGTCCTTGGTGATTTCAGTAATGCTTTTAAAGAAGAAAAAAAGAAAAATCTTGCTTCCAAAGCTTTAAAGAGCAAAAATTAGATGAGAACATCTAATATTTCTTGAATTAAACTTCTGTCTTACAGCATGGAGACAACCACAAAACTAATCAAATCTGTACTTCAGAGTTAAATTTAGGATCGTTCTGTGGGATTGTAGTTGCTGGTTGGGCTTACAGGAGCTCAGCGTTCACTGTTGGTCCATTTCTTGGCCAAAAGGATTGGTAGTTTGTTCATTTATTAATCATTAGAAAAAAAAGTTCATAGGAGTATCGCTTCGGTCCTGTCATCTTGGAGGATCTGACATTTATTGACTGATTTATTTTGTAGAAAATTGGAAAGCAGCAAAAATTTATTAAAAAAATTTTTACTTAGATTGGTCTCCTTTTAGTTCCTGTCCTCTCTTCAGCAGAAAGAACTTCCAACAAATCCTCCTGGACTACTATTTCAGTTCATTCAATTGCCCCAGAATGGGACAAGCTAAGTTCATTGGGTCATTGTTTTTAGAAATGTGTGGTTATTTTGGATCAAAGGTCTTGCTCCATGTCAAAAATAATTGGATTAAGTATACGTATTTAAAAGCTCCTGTGTATTTGCTGTTGAGTTACCTATGCATGTATCCTACTAACTTGTTAGGTTTGGGCCCATTGCTCACGACAGCTGCAACCTGAATGAACCTTTGTAGAGCTGTTCAATGTCATTTGCAGTTAAACATTGGTTCTGAAGTGCTGTGCTTTTTCATTTTATAATTTTACAGCACAAATCAGGCAATCTTAAAAATAAATAATTAGCATAGTTCAGTTCTGCGCGTGGCTGTAACTGAGCTTTATTTTGTAGCTGCTAATAAAGGCACATTATCATGTTCAGGCATTGCAATTATCATTGAAATGTGTATGTCCATTAACTGCAACATTAGGCTGAGGATATAATTACTGTCTAGAGCCAATATCTTTGTGAAGTTACATCTATGATGCTATTAAGCTATAAGCAGTATTTGTAAACTAATATGTAAATGATCCAGAATTGATACTTTCACTTGCAGGCTTAAAAACTAATCCTGCTTCCACCACAAATTATTGACTTCTTAAGTGTTTGGCAAATACATTACTGGGTTATTTGCATGTGATTGAAATGTCTGATTTGAGAGAGGCTACTATTTTTTAAATAGTGAGGGCCCTGCACAAATTAAATGGGTAGCAAGAGAAAGGGGAATTGTAACAGCGACATGCTGCTGAAACAGTGCTATTGTATGTCAGGAAGGGGTATGTGTGGTGCTGCTGCTTGTATTCTGTCAGTTTTTCATTTGTTTGTTTGCTCATAGCAAAGTTACACGTTCCATTTCAGGCCATTTAGCAGTTTTATGGGGAAGAAGAAATCCAAACCTGTTGCATGCTAAGAAAAGAATAAGGAAAAGCCTTTACCAGTAATGGTA